ACACGATTATTTGATCACCTTAGTGAGGCTGCTGACGTGGCCCTAAATCGGTATCCTACTGCACAGTTGGTCTTTCTGGGGGACTTTAACGCTTGTCACCAAGACTAGCTGTGCTCATACCAGAAGACCAACCATGCTGGAAGAGAAGCGTAGAATTTTGCTATCACACTAGGTCTTTCTCAGATGGTAAAGGTGGCGACTAGGGTACCCGATTTAAACTGTCACACAGCAAATTGCTTGGACCTTCTGCTGACTACCGAACCCAAGAGATGTAAAGTACAGGTTACCTCTCCTTTCTCTGACTTTATCTGACCACTGTCTGATGAAATCTGTATCGTCATATTCTCCACCTGATTACGAGTCCCATGGTGTTCGACGAATATGGCGGTATAAGTCAGCTGATTGGGATGAGATGCGACACTTTTTTGCATCTTATCCTTGGCGGGAGGTCTGTTTCTCTTTGAGCATTTTATCCCCTTCTCTGATGCTCCCACCGGTGGCAAAGCTCGCCCATGTTTTAACGCTGAATGCGCCCAAGCTGAAAAGCGCAAACATTTAGCGTATCCTGGATAGACTGACGCTCGGAACCGCAAAGATGCGGATATTAGCCCCACAAAGAGAACTTTCAGCCAGACCGCCAAGTTCTACAAAGACGCATTACGGAAAGCTAGTCTCGATCGCATTAAACATATTGGTGCAAAATTTTCCGCCAGACCATCCGGCACTACAGCTTTTTGGTCTTTCGCCAAAGTGGTCGAGACAAACTTCTGTCGGCCTACACTGCCTCCGCTGGTAAAACCGTATGGCAAACTGGCGCATGCGGCTAAAGAGAAAGGAGACCTGTTCGCGTCTCTTTGCCAACAATTCACGTCTGGACAGTGGCAACAACGTTCCACCAAAATTACCTCACTGCGGGACCTCTATGTCGTAGGTTTGTATAACAGATAAGGAGGTTCTTAAGACCTTGCGTTATCTAGACGTGAATAAAGCTAGTGGACCAGATGTTATACCAACTATAGTTCTAAAGGCTTGTGCACCTGAGTTGTTTCCTATGCTGACACGCTTGTTCCGCCTCTCATTTAGGATTGGAAAAGTGCCAAAATCCTGGAAGCTGGCCAACGTGCAGCCTGTTCCAAAAAAGGCAGCCGTGCCGACCCTACCAATGGATCACAGCAACATGTTCTAATTTGACAATAAAACCTATATAGCTTTAAAGCTTTGTTTATGAAAATAACAATAGTTTTTGTTTCATCCAAATTGGTGCAGAAATACGAAAGTTATAACGTTTTGAAGCTGCGCAATATTTTTAAATTTTTACCCGCTCGTTCTCTGTGATGTGACGTCACAATCCGACAGAGCGAACGCGCAGTAGGTAATTGCTAAGTTCAGTACTAACAGCGCGCTTGGAAGTATACGGTCGTTTACCTACATATTAAATATAGAATGTCAGAGTTAATGTCAGGTTGACTGTATTAGATGACATAATACTTATAATAAACCCAACGACTATATAATAATTTTGAACTAATAATTTATGAATAATCTAATCTAATATGAATAATCTAGTCCAATGTAATCAATATTATTTAAGATGAATAATTTCATCTAACAATCTAATCTATTATTATGAATAATATAATCAATGAACTATTAATAATACGTGACATATGTATGCCTATGAGTTAGATCACATACTGAACTTTATTAGTGTTTAAATAAGACATTTTGTAAATTGTGAATCACAAATAAACTATTTGATTTGATTTATAAACTAAAGTATTGAACATTTAGCGTCTAAAATGATTATATTTATATGTACAGTCTCGGTGTGTAGTGCTGTAAAAAAAAGAAAAAGAAAATGGAAGCGGGCTTAAAAAAAAGACAGATATTTTGCCAAAAGTGGATATTTTTATGGTTGCGGAGTATTTTTCAGAAAATTATGATTTTTTATCATCAGAAATGCGTAAAATAAAGCTCTAAAGGTAAGTTACTAATAAAAGATTACGAAAAGTAAACAGCTTTACCATTGATTAGTAATTAGACAGTAATACATGGGTAGGTATTAATTGACCGAATCACGAAGTTGCACATGATTTACAACGACATAAAATGAAAAAAACTTACTTAAAATTACTAATGCAGGGAGTATTAATCAAGTCGTACTGTTATTTAGTACCTAGTGACACGTGAAGAAATTTTGTTGGTTACGTAGTTCGTCAGTGGTATATGGTCCTAGTTTTACTTTGAATTTTTTTTATCAAAATGGCCCTTGGTATTGTGGTTATGTCACAATAATTCTGCCAATGTCCGGTCTTTGGTCTGTCACACCTTGTCTTGAGGCTTCTCGGTGGGAAAGGAGTTAGCGGTTATTAAGTGAAAATGTGGATAAAAACAAAGCAACTAAATACATGAATTGGGGACTGCACAATATAGAGCAAACATCTAGTTATAGGAGGAGGTTACTTTGACTTACTTTTGAATAATCTGATTGCGGTATTACGTTGCGTTGGTAGCTGGTACCTATTCTGTTTCCAAAATACAATGGTCGCAAATATTCAATGCGTGTGCTAAACTGATTTTGATGAAATTTTTTATTAAGGTGTAACTTGATCTACAGGATTTTATCTTCTAATATCAGACTTTTATTCCCATGGATTGTGATATAATCGAAATTAAAAAAAAAACAGAAAATAAAGGTTATTGATAAATAAATAACATGACAAGAAAAATATGGAGTAATAAATATGGAGAAAATAAGAAAAATATAACAATGAAGACTACTGGTGGCTTCGACGTGTCATTTTGTGACGTTACATCGTGATGCGGAGCAAAGCGGTCGCCCTTACCATAAAACACCACTTTACTCATCAATATTTCAGTCATTTTTAAAAGTAGAACAAAATAAGAACACCTTTGAATTCGTAATTTTTTATACAATTTTTTGATACTCTTGACAAAATTGGGTGGCCAGACCCATTATCGGCCAATCTCAAGTACCTCTATACTCTGCAAGATTACGGAGTGTATATTGAACGCACGGTAAATGGCATACCTAGAACAGAATGACCTCCTTAGTGACCAGCCATATGGGTTTCGCCGAAATCGGTCGGCTGGGGACCTTCTAGCGTATGCCACACATAACTTATGGGGCGAGGTATTCAAGAACGGTGGGGAGCACTTGCTGTTTCCCTTGATGTCTCGAAGGCCTTTGACAGAGATTAGCCCACTAGCGTTTTGGGTAAGCTTCTAGCGTACGGGTTATCCCCTAGTGTGATTGAATGAGTAAAGGACTTTCTGAGTGAACGGTCTCTCCGGGTCGACGTCGATGGCTGCTCATCCGATCCCATGGTGACTAACGCCAGTGTTCCTCAGAGGTAGCCGTTCTCTCTACAACTCTCTTCCTGCTGCATATTAATGATCTGCTTATGTCCAGTATCTATGGGTGTGCAGACAATAGCACAGTTGTGGAGAAATACCAACCAAGTCCTCGGGCCAGTCGGGATCAAATCCAATCCAAAAGAGAAGTAGTCTCCAAATGGAGCGATGCCAATCTTGTGAGATTCAACGCCTCGAAAACACAAGCGTGTCTCTTCACTGCAAAAAGGAGTCAGCTCACCTTGGCTCCTCCTTTCCGAAATGTATCACTGGAATATACCGACCGCCTTCAGTTGCTGGGGATTGAGATATCCTCAAATATGAACTTCGGGCGGTTCATTGAGTCCAACGTCAAAGCAGCTGCAAGGAAGCTGGGAATCCTTGAAAATGTGCGGCGATACTTCACGCCGGGACAGTTGCTTACTTTATATAAAGCACAAGTCCGGTCGTGAATAGAGTATTGCTACTATATATGGGCTTGTACTGCAAAATGCCACCTAGCAGCTTCGGACTCAATGGAAAGGCGTACTAAGAGGCTTATTGGTGACCCGAATTTGGTTAAAACCTTACAGCCTTAAACACAGATGCAAAGTAGCCAGCCATTCGGTTTTCTACAGGATGCATTTCGGAGAGTGTGCGCAGGAATTGCATAATTTAAATCCTCCCTCTCTCTTCCACCATCGGATACCCAGACGTTCGGTTGGTATCCACCCTTTCGTTGTTGACTTACTACGCATTCGAACTAAACGGTTCGCCACGTTGTTAATCTTGCGTACAGCAAAGGAGTAGAATAAGTTGCCAGCATCTGTCCTTCCATTCGATTACAATGTGGATGTCTTCAAGGCAAGTGTGAATAGGCTTTTGTTAAGTCAGTACGCTTAACCATCTTAGGCTACATCACCACTTTCCATCAGGTGGGATCGTAGATAAGCGCTGGCTTAGTAGAATATAAAAAAAAGAAAACATTTATTTTCAAAATGTATTTATTACGTGAAAAAGTTAAAGTCCCCAATGCTATCTATATCTAAACCTTTTAAAAACAATAGTCTGTCAAGTTTACTGGGATCCAAGCGATTCCGCTCGTCACTTGCGATGTTGCTAGCAATTGAAAAAAGGCGCTCACAAAGAACAGATGATCAAACGATACTTATATACATCATGGCTATTGAATGAATGTCGTGATAAATAGAGGATCATACTTCAGGTGCACAACTGCCTGTGATAAATAGTGTTTAAATTCGTCGTTTAAGCCCTGACTTTCCAGTGCAAGTGCATTACTGTGCTTATATATACACAATAATAAGTATTTATTTCGCTAATCACTACAAACGTAACTTTTTTCATGACATGGAGGCGGAGGAAATTAAGCATACAGCCATCTCGCGAGTTTTTGAGTAATTAACCTATTAACCGGTAACACCATAATATTACGAATACATTCAACTAATTGTAAATAATTTTATTGTTTTTACCAAAACAAAAATAAACGAATGGCGAGTTTCAAGGGTGAAATATCGATTCCCTGCATCGACCCAGTACTGCATATCGATTTAAAAAAGAGAGCATCGATTTTTGATCAATCGATCTCAGATCGGCATCCCTAATTTCATGCGATGCGCCATTTTGTAATGTAAATGCAGCGTTGCTTGTTACCGCCTTTAAGTTTTCATCTAACAAATAATATTATTCTAAAGTGAAAGTGTGACGATTCGTATTTAGTAAATAGTTGTAAGTAATTTTCGTTAAAAAAGTAGATTAGACCAAATTTATTTGAATTTCATGTTGACTGCTTCCAATTATTGTACCGGCATTTTGGTATATTATATTATAATTTTTAATGCATTTTGTTTGTTCTACTAACGACTTATTCGTATGTATTTCATAAAGTTTAATTATGATGTTTGAACAATATTACAGTTTATTATGGATAATCAAAGAGAGAAGGAACGGGATCGGTCAAGGCGGGGAGACAGACCTTCACGTTTTTCGGACGCTATCCGTGACCGATCTATTGACCGCGATCGCTCTGAAGGAAGGCGGCTATTTGTCTCAAATATTCCATATGAATATCGTTGGACCGATCTAAAAGATTTATTTAAAGAAAAAGTACGTATGTCTAAGGTTCTAAGAACTCCGTAGTTCGTTGTACTACATACGTTGATCAATAAGTTTTTCGAAACACAATGAAACTCTAGGATAAGTATATGTAAATTGTATTTATTTTTCAACGTAATCGCGTTTTAAGGTAATATACCTTGAATAGTGTTTTGCAAGTTGGTTAAAGTCCTTGCAAAAAAAGACTTAATCCTAGGAATCGAAAGAAAGGCCCCTACAGCACACATCACCTCAACGTCGCAGTCGAATTTTATACCACGCAATTGCTTTTTCAGATGAGAAAATAGGTGGAAATATGAGTATGGATGTGGGATGTAATTTGGCAGGATATCATAGAGATAATAAGAAATTTTAGGGCTTTGAAGACAGATGATTGTCTAATCCTTGTCCAGCTAACTTTCACAGATTGACCCATTCTTAATTCATATTTTAGCCAAGTGTACATACTGATCATAGAATTATTGTAATTTTTTTATTTATTTAACAATATATAGAATAGTTACAGTTTTACAATCTGCCCAACTACTCAGCAGTTTGTTGGTAGAAAAATGCTCTCATACTTCATACTTATGTAGTGATACAATTTCAATTGTCATAGATGAATAGTATCAATATAAGGTTAATTAGCATTTTAAATGACTGGCATTTTCTATATATCGTCACTTATATTACAACACTGCAAATATACAATTTACCAACTTTACATGAGAGACTATGTGGTAGAGCCATGCTGCAGCTTTATTAGTAGTATAGTTGTAGCATGAATCTGTCGGCTCGACCGGGGAAGGACCACGCTCTCACAGAATACTAGTGTAAAATGGCAGCTTGACACTGCTGTGTTTCGTATGGTGAGTGTAGAGAACTGGAGACCCATTTTACTGGAAAAGAGGCATTCCATCTTAGTCCTCCAGGGTGACGATGCATCTGCATTTTGATTCTTTATTGAGGACAATTGTAGATGTCTATAGGTCACAGCAACCACTTACCATCAGGTGGACTGTTTGCTCGTTTGTCACCCTATCCTATTAAAAAAAGACAAAAAGGATTTATTTACTTCTTAACAATAAAATAAAAATCAGGTACTTTCACTTTTTTAGTTATTGTGCAAATAATGCACAAAACAGTTATAGCATTATTAATTAAATAAAAAAATCACATTGGCACTTTTGCCTTTCTGAAATATGGCACATTCTAGCACAAAGTGGTGTTTGCTAAAGGAACTTATTATTACTAATCTTCATTAAATTATTCTTAATATTCAGGTATGAAACATTTATAATACTTGTAACAAAGTTTTAATACAAAGCTATAATTAAGTTAATAAGTAATAAGATTATAAACCATTTAAAATATTCTCCAAAAAACCATAAAATAAATAAAACTACGCTTATATAACAAATAAAAAAATCAAACAAAATAGGTACCTAATCTGAGATAACAACAAAAACATAATAAAGCAGCTAATGAGGTAAGCTGTCATAGAAACCATGGTGAAGAAACACTTGGTATCAAATTCTTGAGCTCTTGCAGGTGCTGCCACTTTCGTTCAGCGATCGGTAATCTTCTGTCATATAATTTTGGGAAGCTATTGATTGTTTTTCGGAAGCTTTTGACGTTCTGGTATTATGCAGTATCTTTAGAATTTCATCAAAATTTAACTTGATCAAATTTTCCCATCGGGTTTGTAGATAAGGACACTAATGTCCATAACTGTTGGAGCTCCAGCTTTTCTGCCTGGCCTTATTATAGACTTGTAGATTTGATCTTCAGACTGAAAAATCAGTGAAAATCCGTAATCCAAGTAAATGACTTCATATGGTTTTGGGTGAACTCTTGCAGTCTTTGTTAGAGCAGAATATTGGCTTGTCAGATACATTTCTTGACTTTTGAGTTTCGATTCTATGGAACTATGTACCCAGTCGCATTCCATTTGCATGAGCCCTTTGACAAAAAACTTTTGAGTGAGCTCTGCACTATGTTCCATGGCTACTCTTAAGTAAGGCATGGAATTGGATGCTGAGGTAGCTATTTCTGTTTTGTGCGCAGTATTTATCGGAGTATATTATCACAGGAACATTCTTATTCAACAGGTGAAAGATATTATCCACAATGCAAGAGACAAAAACTGCCGCTTCAAGACAGCCGTTACTTTCGTCAAACCAATAACATATTACATCATGGCTAATTAAGTTATAGGTAGTACAATTGTGGACACATAATTTGGTCTTGAAGTACAAGGCACTAGCTTGTAGATTTGGAGCCATTTTCACACCTTGAACAACATGACAGCTACCTTCAACAGCCAAGCTTTTGTCAGCGGATTTTTCAGCTCTAGCATGGTTTTTTAAGTTCTGTATGTCTGTATGTGTCTTCCAGGCCTCTTCTGTTACGTTACCCACTTTGTAAGAGCAGCAAAAGTCACACTGGTCCTTTTGTGGCATGAATAAGCTCAGGTTACTTTTAAGGAACTCATTGTCAAAAGTGCGACGACACAAAAACTCTTTTTCCTTTTCTTGGTAATCATTTTGGCAACAAACATAGGTCTCATAAAGTTCAGAAATATTTCTAACCATAAGTTCCAGATAAAGTCTACTAGACGTCTGTCGGCAATAGTGCGATGGCAACTTGGGCAGCTTGTCAGAGAAGACAATCAAGGTCTGAGACTGGTCTTTTCTTTTTTGGAGATGTTCGTCTTTGCAGTGATGTTTCTGGTTATGCACTATGCCGTTTGATTTTCTAGTTTTATCGAGCCAGTACCTAAGGAACCACTCTGACATTCCTAAGGTATGAAGAAACATCCCTCGACAAACTTTTACTCTCGACACATTTGAATTTCTGGACACCAATAGGTAGTAGGACTTGGTCTCACTTATTGTAGAGGTCTCACCATTTGTTACTTTTCGCTTACATGCGCTACGGAAACATTTGAACACACAAACTGTTGTCTGTTCCCAGCCTATTGTTTTCCAGAAACTTTCAAAAATGCTTCGCCGTTCTGGATCAGTAATATCATGACATCTATGGACCTTAGATTTTTGGCAAACAGTGGATTCCCAAGTTTTTAGCTGGTTTTAGTGTCATATAGAACTTTGAAAATTGGATTATACTGGTCAACTTTCCTATCGCGCCTATAGCCTAAATATGACTTTGTTCCTTCTTCTCTCAATTTTTTTTATTTAATTCTCTTTGCCATTTCTTTGAATTTTTATTCACTTTATTTTGTCTCTTTGTCTGACTTTGGGTTTTGCAGTGAAAAATTTTTTCTGTTGATAATAGGATGTCTTCTAGTATGATTATTTTCGGTCTTTGTTTCATATTGTTATTATTTTGCCCGTTCAAAACAAGTCCATTATCCTTCTTAGGCTCAACCACATTAAAAATCATTTCAATACCATCCATAATGATTATCCCAGTACACAATGTATCATCTGTTACCATTTGCTTGCTATTTTCTGGCTGCGGTGTTAAAATTTGTACACTATTTTCAACGTTTTTTTAGTTCTGCGAACTGCTATGTCCAGGATCCATGATTAAAGTTGCTTTAGCAGTGACTTTATTAAGTTGTGTGGGCATCTTATATTGTAGGTTACCTAGTTTACACAACTCCTCCATCTCATAATCTGTAGAAGATGTCGAATTCACAGCTCATGTTTAGTATGTTTCTATTTTGCCATAGTCCAACCAGTAAACACCGCGAATGTGAAGAAAAGATGCAATGTAACACGGTGAACAAGTGATCGTGATCTTGACCATATTTTAGTATTACAAATTGATGAAAATGTATTGAAATGTAATGTTTAATAACTATTTATCAATGTTCTTAATCACATGAAGTGCTATTTCTTTCAAAAAGTCGAATAATATAACAAATATAATTTAAAAAAAAAAACACTTGATTACTGAACCGAACTTCTCTGCAAATATTTTATGGTGACTGATGAACATTCACGGTCCAAACTAACCAATGACAGACATTCGCGGTGATACAGATTTTTAATTCCAGCCTCTGAGTGGCGAGTTCTCTTAAACACGATTGGTGCACAAGTGAATGACGGAAAAAATGCATATTCACAGTGTTGTAATATAAGCGATGATATGTATATTCATACACATTCACATACATATACGTATATGTATAATAACTACAGTTATATTGTTGTATTATGGATCATCATGATACATGTCAAATTTTTGCTACTTATTATGGTTTATGCTTTTAAGGCTAGAATGCCTGATAGATTGTTATATATTTTGATATTAAGTGTTGAAATTGGAATATTCTATTACCTTAACAATTAGCACATTACTTTTGTAATGAATCTTCTATAGTAAATATGTTGCTGCATGCTATAATAGAAGTTTTGTAAAAATTTTAGGTTGGCGATGTTGCATATGTTGAGTTGTTTAATGATGACAATGGTAAGCCCAGAGGATGTGGTGTTGTAGTATTCTCTACTACAGAGGCAATGAAGAAAGCTCTATCAGTAATGCATAGATATGAGTTAAATGGACGAAAGCTTGTTTTGAAGGAAGAAATGGGTAAGTATATAGTTTTAATGAAAGGGTTTTATATTAACTATACCTTAATATTGAAATTGGAGGGGGGGGGGGTGGATGGAGGGAGAGGGAGGTGGTACCCCCCACCCCCTGCACTATCTGCTGCTGTAATCTTCTCACTAGGTCTGCTGTAATCTTCCCCCAAAAATTCGATTTTGGGACAAATTAGTTTATCCTAGGTTGAACTAGTTTTTCTTAGCCCTAAATGTTTGAAGTTTTTTGGTCCTACTCACCTTAACCTACTGTCGCTCTACTCTCTCAAGTTATGTCAGCTTATGAAAAACGAATTTAGCCAGGAATTTTTCATAAATTTTCTCCAAATAAAGAATTTTTGAACAATGTAAGCCCATAGTATTCCTTTGTTTATATCTGCAGGGCCAAGAGACTAAACATTTTTGCATGTAATTTTAAACATTTTTATACTACAAGTAGCTAGCCCAACAGACCTTATTCTGCCTTGATGGACCAACAATTATATATGTATATATAAATTATAAATTGAAGTTCTGCTTTTTATTACAGGTAATGAAAGAAACAGACTTAATACTTCGAGGTCTGGTGGAGTAGGAAGCGGAAGGAATTTAAGAGATGATAAAGATAAGTAAGTGACAATTTAACCTCATAATTTATTTAGCTGAAGTTAAAATTAGACCATGCAGATCGTTTCAATTGCAATTAATACAATTGCAATTGTATTGGTCTTTCTAAAAGTACCCTATCTGATATGTATAACCTGGAAGATTCACAGCCCCTAACCAGGTGAGTCTGTGAAATTTAGGTAATCTTTGGAATGTATTTTCCTACATCAGAGCTGGTTGCCAGAATCACGTCAATCCTGTTGGGGGGCGCAAAATGCGGATGAGTTTGACATTTGGAAAAAAGCTTGGCATATTTGCAGATATTTTTCAAAGCAGTGTTATATTATAAAATAGACAAATTCTTTGATTGGGAACCCATAGCTCAATATTTAAAAAATAATATTAAGCACATTAGTATTATAATATAACTATTGTCGTTATCTTTTATGTTGTAGAGCCATTTTTCAGTTATAGTAGTAGCACAAATAGGTTGGCTCGACGGCAGAATGAAGAGCCGTGGTAGCTTAGATAGGTTGGCTCGACGGCAGAAGGAAGAGCCGTGGTAGCTCAGATAGGTTGGCTCGACGACAGAATGAAGAGCCGTGGTAGCTCAGATAGGTTGGCTCGACGGCAGAATGAAGAGCCGTGGTAGCTCAGATAGGTTGGCTCGACGGCAGAATGAAGAGCCGTGGTAGCTCAGATAGGTTGGCTCGACGGCAGAATGAAGTGCCGTAGTAGCTCAGATAGGTTGGCTCGACGGCAGAATGAAGAGCCGTGGTAGCTCAGATAGGTTGGCTCGACGGCAGAATGAAGAGCCGTGGTAGCTCGGATAGGTTGGCTCGACGGCAGAATGAAGAGCCGTGGTAGCTCAGATAGGTTGGCTCGACGGCAGAATGAAGAGCCGTGGTAGCTCAGATAGGTTGGCTCGACGGCGGAATGAAGATTGTGCTGCTGTGTTTCGTATGGTAAGTGTAGAGAACCAGTCCTCAGGGGTCGCAATTGCATTTTGATTCTTATTTGAGGATAGATATAAATGACTATGAGCCACAGCATCCACTTACCATCTGGTGGACGGTGTGCTTGTTTGTTCCCAATTTATATAAAAAAAAAACATTTAAAAAAAGTTGTCTAAAACTACTCTATTCCTTTAATTAGGAATGTGTTAGTCTGACTGCTGGTTCTATTTTCATTTCATATATAATGGATTACACGGGCAAGTGTAGGTATAACCACCTAACTCAAATTAGCACACATGAGCCATACCACACACGGGCACGCGTAGATAGGAACTTAGTTATACCCACACACATATATTCGGAGAGACGCGCCAAAATGCAGACATAGGATTAGTTATTTGTGTACTCAATGCTTATATTTAATTCATGTTATTAGAATTTATATTTAAAATAGTAGGTAATTTAGTATCAGCGCACCACATACCCACTTAGATTTCTGTCATTTTACAATCCTGTTCATCCAAAGGCTGTCTGGATGAAATTGCTTTCAGTGATAAGACCAAGTCCATTGTATATTTCTTGAAATTCTACGTTTTTATTTTAGTTATTTTTTTCTATTTTGTATTTTGGTTATTTATCTATTGCTATAACAATATTTAGGGTTTATGTATAGATTCCTCAAAAATTTGCACCAGCAAATGATAGATTTCATTTATTGCCCTTGCCTTTTTCAATACAATGGACAGTATCTGAGGAAGACGTTATATATATGTAAAATATATAATGTAGGAGTAATTAATTCCAGTTCATTTTATATTACAGCTGGGGTGCCAATAAACCTAGAGAGCCAGAAAATTTTAACACTTATGGTCTGAGCCTACAATTTTTAGAGTCAATCAATGTGCAGCCACCTTTGATGAAGAAAGTGTTTGTTGCTAATGTAAGTAATGTATTTATTTATATGTTAAGAGGATAACCAAGCTTAAATTGAAGTCTGTTTTTTTTAAATTTTATGTTGTTGCTCTGCACTCAAGCAACTGAGCTAGACAACTAAGACAGACAACTGCAGCTGGGATGGATTATACATGTGAATAATTGACAAAGTTATCATTCTCTATTCCCTTGTTTCCTCCTCGAAAAATGGACAGATTTAAATTATTTTGGATAAAAATATGAGAGGGGTTGTGGTTATATCTGTATGTTTTCTTTTGTCTGGATGTATTGTTAAAACATATTTGCTATAGGTTCATTATTAAGGAAAAAACCAGAGGAATATGTTATGTAAGAACAAAACACCGCCTGGATATCGTCTTAATTCTTTTATTTTTTAAACCACAGGTCAAATTGCAATTTTTAAGTACTTTTAAATAATATTCATAAGATTGTTAATAATTATTAGTATTGTATTTTAGCTGGATTATAAAGCTGATCGTGCTAAAATTAAGGAAGTGTTTAAAATGGCTGGGAAAGTCCATAATGTTGATTTAGCAGTAGATAAAGATGGTAATAGCAGAGGATTTGCAGTGGTTGAATATGACCATCCCGTTGAAGCTGTTCAGGTAAGTTTTCGGTTACTTACATCACTGCATATTTTGACATTTTTTGTTATTTAGTCATCATTTCATTAAAAGAAACAGTATAATAAAAGCCTTTATTTATCCCACTGTTGGGGAAAAACTTATAATAACCCAGTGTGTATTAAGCAATTCCATATGCCCTTGAACTTTTTTTTAGCCTTGGACTTTTTTTAGGGTTCTCTACCCCAAAAAGAAAAATTGCTGTTTGTCTTTCAAGGTTCTTTTTTAATAAGAGAGTAGAAGTATTAAGCTGAATTAAATATCAAATACTAGAGTCTTATGTACCTTCCATAATGATTTCTTATATTTAAGCGAACACTACACATTTAAATAAAACTAATTTTACGGATTTTATTGCATATATTAACTTTTTATTTAAATACCTTCCATAAGTCAATTCAAGTTACATCAATAAAATCAAAAGATCACATAGATTTTAAATTTGTTGTTTGTTAAATTTAATTTGTTGTATTATTGTCATTATGTATGTCATAAATATTGCAAAGCGTTGAAAAGATCTTTCCTGTAGTAAATATAAAAATCATATGTCATTGTATTTAGGATAACAATCTGGCACAAATCTGTTATATATATATACATTTTTAATGTATTTTAATTGTTATCTGTTTTGTTGTCCATTTAATAAATAAATTAATAAAAGATACAGCCATTTGTGTCACATATTTTGATACTAACAAACTCACTCATCAAAATCTATAGAGTATTTCCTGTTATCCTATCATGACATTTGGCAAAAAGCAAGGTATCATGTAAAGGTGAAAATCCTAAAGTTTAAAGATTGCAAAAATGCATATATTTTTTATCCCGTGTAGTGGCGGTTAAGAATATCCACTACCCCATATCTTCCCGTGGGTGTCGTAAAAGGTGACAAAGGGAAACAGGCAGGAGATGGGCAGCAGCATCTTCCTGATAACGGCAAAAATACAATAAAAAAAACTGCGGTTGCAAACCCGCTCGCCAAGCGTGGCAACTATGGCAATATACCCCCCATTATGAAAGTTACGACGAGACGGCCCCCAGTCCCCGCCGGCCCCGCTATTCCTGGCTACCGTGGCGACCATGGTAACGGCGGGGCAGGGGGTGCTAAGAATCTCCGGTGGAGGTTAGGTTGCCACCTACGACGACTCGACCTGGCAACATGCAACGCACGTACACTGAGGACTGACGAGAAGATTGTGGAGCTGGAAGAAGAGATAGACAAGTTACGCTGGGATATTATAGGATTATCCGAAGTCCGAAGAGAGGGGGAGGAAACGGTAATCCTCGAATCCGGCAACTTGCTCTATTACCGGGAGGGCGACCATCTGTCCCAAGGAGGTGACGGATTTAACGTCCACAAGTCTCTCGTTAACAACGTTGTAAAGATTGAAAGTGTGTCGACGAGGGTTGCGTGCCTTATACTCAGAATCACCAAACGGTATTCGCTGAAGGTCATTCAGGTTTACGCACCAACCTCGGCACACCCCGATGAGGAGGTGGAGGAAATGTATGAGGATATCTCTAGAGCCATGCATTCCTCCAAAACCCAATATACGATGCTAATGGGAGACTTCAATGCAAAACTAGGCACAAGAGAGAACGGTAAGCTGAAAGTGGGGTAATTTGGAATAGGGCAACGGAACCCAAGGGGCCAGCAGCTGGCCGACTTCATGGAGAAAGAGGGACTCTTTATAATGAACTCTTTCTTCCAGAAGCGGCCCCACAGGAAGTGGACCTGGTCGAGCCCCGATGGTTCGACAAAAAATGAGATTGACTTCATTATGACGTCCAGACGACAACTGTTCAGTGATGTCTCAGTGATCGTGAGGGTGTAAACCGGCAGCGATCACCGAATGGTTAGAGGCACACTGAACCTAAACGTTAAGTTGGAGAGGTCCCCCTCGTGCTCTAATCCAAAGTCCCGAAACCTTTCAGCTCGAGTTACAAAACCGTTTTCAGTGCCTAGAAGACTGCAATGAAGTGGACGATTTGAATGACAAGCTCGTGGAAATTGTCCATGCGGTCGGAGCTAAGTTCTGCAAGACCCGCCGCAGAAGAACACAAAAACTCTCTGATCACACACTTAATCTCATGGCTGTTAGACGGGAGATGAAGCTACATTCTTCAACAGATTTGACAGCATACAGGCAACTGAACAGACAGATCTCCAAATGCATGCGGCGGGACTTACGCAACTTCAATACAGCTCGTATTGAAGAAGCGATGGAGCGGAACCAAGGCTCCAAAGTCTTTGCCAGAGATCTGTCTGCCAGAAAGAGCCAACTGTCAAAGCTGAAGACCGAATGTGGCAGCATCATTTCCGGGGCACCTGAGATTTTGAGTGAGATTGAGAGGTTCTAGGGGCAGCTGTACACGTCATCGTTGGAGCCGCACGCAAGTGTGAGTAACGATCCAAGAGCGAGTCTTATCCGACATTATTCCGATGATATCCCGGACGTCAGTCTGAGCGAGATTAAAATGGCTCTCCAGCACCTTAAAAACGGCAAGGCTCCAGGCGAGGATTGAATTACAGCGGAGCTTCTGAAAGCGGGTGGAAAACCGGTACTTGAAGTCCTTCAGAAGCTCTTTAATTCCGTCCTCCATGGTGGCATTACACCGGAGGCGTGGAGCAGAAGTGCGGTGGTATTGTTCTTCAAGAAAGGCGACAACGCTCTCTTGAAGAACTACAGACCGATTTCCCTTCTGAGCCGCGTCTACGTGCTGTTTTCGAGAGTCATAACGAATCGTCTCGCGCGCAGACCTGACGACTTCCAGCCTTCCGGACAAGCCGGTTTCCGAAAAGGCTTTAGCACCATAGACCACATACATACCCTTCGGCAAATTGTACAGAAGTCCGAGGAGTACAATTTTCCACTATGTCTGGCGTATGTGGACTATGAGAAAGCCTTTGATTCTGTCGAAATTTGGGCGGTGCTGCAGTCCCTTCAGCGGTGCCAAGTTGACTGTCGGTATATCGAAGTGTTGAAGTGCTTGTACAGTAGGGCTACGATGGCTATCCGAGTACAGAATCAGAGTACGAAACCTATCCAATTGCAGAGAGGTGTAAGACAGGGTGACGTTATATCCCCGATACTCTTGACCGCTGCATTGGAAGACGTTTTGAAGCTTCTGGACTGGAAAGGATACGGTATTAACATCAATGGCGAGTATATCACTCACCTTCGATTTGCCGGCGATATAGTTCTCAATGACCTCAATAGTGTTTACCAACGGATAGGTCTTAAGATGAACATGGACAAAACAAAGATCATGTTTAATGTCCATGTCACACCTATGCCGGTAGTTGTTGGGAACACTAAGCTCGAAGTTGTTGACGAGTATGTTTACCTGGGACAAATAGTCCGACTAGGTAAGTCCAACTTCGACCGAGAGGTCAATCGACGGATTCAACTCGGCTGGGCAGCGTTCGGGAAGCTACGACACATCTTCTCGTCAGACACACCTCAAAACCTGAAAACGAAATTGTACAACCAGTGCGTGTTGCCAGTGATGACTTATGGAACTGAGACGTGGTCCTTCACTGCTGGCCGTATGAGGAAGCTCAAGGTCGCTCAGCAAGCTATGGAGAGGGCTATGCTCGGAGTTTCTCTGTGTGATAAACTCAGAAATGAGGATATTCGCAGTAGAACCAGAGTGACCGACATAGCCCAACGGATTAGTAAGCTGAAGTGGCAGTGGGCCGGCCATATAGCTCGAAGAACCGACAACCGATGGGGAAGAAAGGTTCTCGAGTGGCAGCCTCGTACCGGCAGGCGAAGTGTAGGGCGTCCCCCCACTAGATGGAGTGACGACCTGGTAAGATATGCAGGAAGTCAATGGATGCAGGTGGCTCAGGACCGTGCTTTGTGGCATTCTTTGGGGGAGGCATATGTTCAGTAGTGGACTTGTGAAGGGCTGTAATGATGATGATGATGATATTTTTTTTTTATAGTATGAGTGAAGTGAGTTTAACAGATATCATATGATATCTGTTAAACTCACTTCACTCAACTGTGCAAATAATGCATCTTACATATATGGGAATTTAATAGAAATAAATAAATAAATAATTTATTTCTATGAAAATGATTACTAATACTTGTTACTAATTACTAATTTTATACAATATTAGTAATTAGTAGTAATAAACACTTTCTATAATCTCTTTAACTATGTAGGTATTGCATCTACTTTCACTGCTGTGGTAAGTCAATAGTGTATGATTTATTTCAGGCAATATCAATGTTTGACAAGCAAATGTTATATGACCGTCGCATGACAGTTCGAATGGATCGTGGTGTGTCAGATAAGACAGAACTTAGGTTACCCGAGGGGTTGAAGGGAATTGGTCTGGGACTGGGCCCCAATGGGGAACCCTTAAGAGATGTGGCGAGGAATTTGCCTCAAACACCAAGTACTACAAACTTGAGCTTAGCTGGCACTGGTCCAGGAATTGGTGCTGGAGTGTTGGGCGCGGTGCCAGCTGCAGGCGTGGCATTAAATGGCCTTGGTACTGGACTCTCAGCGAATACACTTGGTACAAACACTGCATTGGGAGGCAGTTTGAGCTTGCAGGTATTTGTATAATTTAATATACATTTAGTGCAATATAATTATTTTGAAATAAATTTAGGTTTTGAAAAGGCGTTTATTTCAATATAATATATATTTTTATAATGTAATTTCAAAAAGCTAAATTATCAATTTTACTTTTTTCAGGCTTTGGGTTTGACAGGTTTAGGGGCATTGCAAAATCAATTGCTTCAGCAAGGTCTCACAGCCAATGACTTGGCTACTGTTCTGTCGGCGCAAGCAGCAAATGTTAACACAAACAATTTGGGTTTGAATACTACAGATTTGGGATCCAATGTTATGGGTAATTCCAATATGGGAGGCAATGTGCTAGGTGGCAATCCCAGTTTAAGTAGTGGACCACTGTCTGGTATATATTCTCTCCAAACATATTATTTTTTTAGCATGTAACAAAAATAATTTCTGCTTGTCTGGTATTTCAGGTTCAAGCAGACAAATGGGAAATGTACCAATTCCTGGTCAGGGCTACGGCCGTGACACAGGAGTACAGCAAGGAGGAAGGGATAAAGATATGGTTATAATTTCTAATGTGAGTATCGTGTTAGGTATCATTTCTATTGTACCAGCAAGGTTAATTCATCTTTTTTAAAGTAATAAGTTTGAAAACTCAATAGCTAAAAAAGTAACGTCCCTTGTATGTGTATTCTATTTAAACTTCTAATAAGTATTCTTAATTATTTAAAGAATTTGTTGAGAAAAGTATTACGTATCGTCATCATTATCATTACTGCACTTCACTTTGAATTATGTAGCTCTTAAACATAAAATTGGGAGGAAGGGTTCTCAAGTAGGAGCCTCGAACCGGTAAGCGTAGTGTGGTGCGGCCCCCCACTAGATGGAGTGACAACCTGGTGAGATATTTTATATTTTGACGACTCAGTGGCGCAGTGGCGTCTTACGTTAGTTTACGACTAGCTGTTTTCCACAACTCCACGTCTAAGCGCGTATTTAGCGTGTGGGCAGGAATAATGTGATTATTTGAGCCAGCCGAGAAATTTTCCCGAAGAAGTTCAACAGTCCTTTGATGTTGCAAGCAACTTCGGGGAGTGATGAGGTGCTTAGCCCTGTATGTAACGACTTCCGGCGATGTCAACAACATGTGGACCGCCGTTTCTTCCTCCCCCATACATGCTCTGCATAGGGGACTATCTGTAACTCCTATGGTAACTAAATGTTTGTTAAAAGAACCATGTCCTGTGAAATCACTTGTTACTATCCTGATCTGTGGCTTGTTCAGTCTCATTAGATGCTAGGCTAAATGACAGTTTATTTCAGGCAGGACCTCTCTAGCTTGTCAACTGTTTACTAGATTTTTCCAAAGCTAAGTGTGTCGATTAGTGAAGTTTCTATGTACCAGTGAATGAACAATACCAAAGGGGATTGGTATGATTGGATCCGGCCCTATAGTGGCCTAAGCCGATACTCTTCTGCCAGTTCGTCTGCTGCATTGTTGCCTCTGGATCCACTGTGTCCCTTTATCCATTGCAGAGCCACATTGTTGTGTTTACATACATTGAATTGTTGACGGCATTCATATATTAGTCCTGAGTTCACCACATAGCAACTCAGAGTTTGTAGTACCGTCATTCTGTCGGTCAGTATTCTGATGGAGAAGTCTTACCTTCCTAGCTATGGCCGCTTGGATGATACCCATGCATTCCGCAGCTAAAGTCACTTGTTGTATGTGTAGATGAAGCAGAGTTAGCTAGAGCTAACCCTGCTAGAGCATAGCCTCTAAGGCTGCTGTTGGTGTAGTCTTTATGCAGCCTGTGGCAGTCATACATGCCAGTCTCTTTATAGTGGTGGCTTCATTTGTTTTGGTCCACCATACCATAGTGCTGTATGTGATCATGAGCCGAATTACAGTTTTGTACAGCCACAGTATAATTTTTGGCGTCAGACACCATCGTTTGCCAATCATGTTTCTGCATTGCTAGAAAGTTATACTATCACTTTGTTAATTTTGTTTTCTATGTGTTTCTTCCAGTTGAGATTACTGTCCAAGGTAAGACCTAAGTATTTTACCTCAGAGGATAGTTGGAGTTTTGTGCTGAAAATACTTGGGAGATGATAGTTATTCAGCATTCGTTTTTGTGTGAACATTACTTAGACAGTTTTATCTGGATTAATGGTTAAGTCATATTCCCTGCACCATCTCTCCACTATACGCTAAGCCGCTTGGGTCAGGTTGCACACCATGCTTGCTATCTTTCTAGAAACCAGTATTGTCAGATCATCTGCATAGCCTATTATGTAGAAGTGATTGGCATTTAATTTGCTGATGAGTAAATTAAATGCCAATCTTCCTCAGGAAAAGTAAAAGAACCCCACACTGCGGGCAGCCTTTCTTGATCTGGATTGTTTGAAATTAATCAGCCATCTTTATTGTTCGTGTACTGAGCATGATTACTATTCAGTCAATCAGTGCTGGTTCAACTTTATGTCTACTTAGTGCACCTTTTATGCTGGAGAAGCTTGTTCTGTCAAAAGCACCTTCTATATCTATGAAGGAACCAAGACCAATCTTTATTATTATTGACTAGACTAATCTTTGTTATTACCTGGAGAAGTGCCGATTCTGTCAATTTACCTAAACTGTAGCCGTGTTGTTTGTCGTGTAGCGGTAAGTTCATTAGCGCCGGCCCCCTTAATTCCCTTTCACACATCCTTTCCATCGTCTTTAGGAGAAATGATGTAAGGCTAATGGGTCTGCAGGATTTAGGATCTGTATAGTCGCTCTTACCTGGTTTGGGTATGAATGTGACTTTTACTTCCCTCCATCCCCTAGGAACATATTTAAGAGCCAGACATGTTCTCATTATAGCAACATGTCTGATTATTAGGGCCTTACTCTCCCCTCCAAAGTACCAGCTTAATTGATCACGCTCCGGGTAGCCGCCGAGGACATCCTACACGACTTAGTTCTCTCAGTGTCCCGTTTAACGCAGTGGGGACGCCCTAAAAGTGCATAAAATATTTCAATTAATTGCATCACCTTTTTAAGTAATCATTCAGTATTATTAAAAGACTATCAATTTTTTTTATTTCAGCTTCCATCAACAGTTTCTTGGCAATTGATTCGAGAGAAGTTCAGTGAGTGTGGTGATGTTAAATTTGCTGAAATGACTGCACCAGACACAGCCATTGTTCGTTTCCATAAAGAGTGGGACGCAGAGAGAGCAATAAGTATCCTTTAAAATTTGTAGACAGAGAAAGAGAGAGAACCGTAAATGTGTGCAGAGGAGTATAAATTGATTTGTGGTCCTTATTAAGCTTAGTAAATTAAGTCAGTCTATTGACTGGCGATGTTTATGCTTCGCATTACTAACGTAATACTGGAACTTGTTACTTGTTTGGACATGAGGTTTAGCAGCAATTAAAATGGATCTTGCAAATGCCAGTTTTTTTTGGGTATTCATGCTGTCAGAATTGTAAGACGAATGAAAGAGATAGTTGGCAGTATGAATAGGGTATTTTGCATCATGTAAAAAAAATCAAAAGATACATATTTTTTGTAAAAAGTTAACACGATGTGTTGAGATCTGTTCATAAAAATGTATTTTAAATTTTATAATTCAATTTTAAGAATATTTTTTTAATCTGTGCTTCAAATGTCCAAAACGCTATCTGCCATATTAGATTCCATCGTGGCCTCACCGATAAAGTAAAAAAGCTAACAAAAAAGTAAATAAAATAAAAGTTATCATCACGATTGTTGACTTTTATTCCGTATTTTATTGAAATAGCATCATGGAAGACGGACCCATAAAGTGTAAATCAAAAAAGCAAGAAAGGATAAATACATTGATGATCGCAATTTTTTTTGGATGCGATCCCGTTTTTTGTTCTGCCGAGTTGAGGAATGTTAAAACATCAATGTAAATACCTATTAACAACTTTAGTTTATACAATAACACAATACCAGGTCAAAGTGTCTTTTGATGATACATAGATATGCTTATCTATGATTACAATCATTACCAATCATCAGTTATGTCCAAGATAACTTAATCTTTAACAAAATTTGACTTGCAATACCTATCACCTCATGATGCTTTGCTTTGTATAAACGATAGTTTGATTTGTATAATAGATAAGTCATACTTACATCAAAGTGATCTTTACAGAAATATAGTCTAGTTTTTGTAGACAATGCCTTTGGGCCTCTTGCCAGTTTTAACCAAGTATTTCTTATATTGGTTGTTTGTCTCACTTGGCACTTGAATCCATAACTTTCCCGGTGTTATAATCGTATTTTTGCATTCAGGAACAACTCATGAATAAAAGATGATAACTCATTATAAAAAATCTTATTACTTTGCAATATAGTTTAATTTACATAATCAGTGACGTCACGAGCTGAACAGCATGTCGGCTAGCAAACGATAAATTAAAAGTATTTTTTATGGCACTATTTGATTTCAAAAAATATTTAAAAATTATAGTGGTTTATCATCACTCTAGGATTAATTTAAAACACTATTTGAAAACTGGTGTAATACCCTATTTAATTTGATTGGCCGAATGTTTGAATATAAGATGGATATTAAGAATATAAGATAGAGCGAGACTGGTTGAAGGGCTAAGACGAATAAAAGGTGAAAAGGGTTTTTAAATTAAAAAGATGAAATATATTTTTTAATACTTTAATAAAGCTTTTTATCGTTCAGATTTTAGGGCAACAATATTGTTTTTTTAAGTTGCAAAATGTACGGAGTTTTTGGCCACTGTTCAAGAATACCATAAAAAATCAAAAAATTAATTGCTTTTCGTGTTTAAAAGTAAAAGAAAGTGACAGTCTATTAACATGCCACTGCAGCATATCATAAAGTTCGTAGCATTTCTGCGGAAGAAATAGGGTGTTTTTTTGCATAATTTTCCTAACAAATATTTCAGAAATGTTTGACAGGACTCGTATTGATGGCAGGACAATTGACGTTCGCTTCTATTAAATGTGACGTCATGCAATGCAGGTTTGTATCATTTGAATTATTAAAGTATATTACAAAGTATGTCTTGTAAAATATTGTACGAAATATGAGAATTTTAAATGCCTGCTTTGAAATGAATCAATTCAATTATATCAATTTGTCATCCTTTCTATAAACTTCTATTCTTTATAAAAAAATATTCAACAATCCATATTTCTAACGTAAATCATAAACCTACGAAAATAATATTCATTATAAAATGTTACGATAAGATTTTCAGGCGGCTTGCGTAAATTTAACTATATAATTAATACTTAATTACTGATAACCTGATTGTCTGGCATTGAATTGATCATAAATCAGACGACATTTCAAAGAAAATATGTGGTAAGGCCTTTCTAAGTGTTTTGGTGTTCTGAGGTGTAAACCAATATTCATATCAGAAACTGTTTTATTTAAACTTAAAACTCATTTACAAATTTTCGAAGTTAAAATTTAAACTTGAGGAATAATTATTTTAGTAATTGAATAATAATAGTAAAACGTAGATAAATTAAATCTCAAGGGCCCTTTATTTTACTTATTTTTTTCAAGACCTCATTTACTCAGTTCACTGGATATCCAGGTATATAAAAGTATCCCACCCATAGAGATAGTAACAGTAGATGTCTTAAAATACAAAAAATCCTACTGTCGCTGATATTACTTCATGTTATGTTTTCGTGACTGACAAATTTAACGGAAGTTATTTTAATTATTATTATATATTATTGCTCAGATGCTATTATCGGATGTTTGTGATTTATATTGTTAACTAATAAATTTTACCTTATTTTTTCTGTTTCTATTATATTAGTTAAATATCGGTCATCAATTTTATAGTGAATAGTCTGAAAATAAACCTTTTGCATAAGTCACTAAGCGCATAATTGCGATACACTGACGATGGAATGATTCGTAGACTTATTAGGAGTTTCTTAATGGTCTATATCTTATTGTTAATTTTGACGGACAAATATTATACACTGTTCATTTTATGATTAATGAACTGAATTCCTTTTTGTCGGTGCTTTATATTTTCTTCAGTGGTGCTCAACTCAGGGATGTTTTATTTTTCGTGCTGGGTGGATGTTTTATATTCAACTTTTTACTGCCCAATCTTTTTTGATTATACTCTACAGTCTTTGCTATCTTTAAGCTTGAATTATGTTGTAATTTCTTGGATCCACGAGTATGTCCAGCTCCGATTGCGGAAACCACTCAAGTAATTTCTAATTCATGGGGTAGTTAGACATTTACTCAATCTCTTTGGCCTAAATGTTATCTTAGGCGATTAGACTAAGATTTCTTTAGATATACAATTGACTGCTCGCTTTAAACGAAAAGGATATATTTTTTTAAAATTCATATAGTCATTAGGGTGAGACAGATGTAAGCATTATGTTAACTTTAATTTAATCCATTTTACTATCTCTTACCTATCATAAACTTCATTACAACTAAAATTGCTACATGATTGATGGCAATGAAAAAAAAAGAACCGAAGTGTTCATTTTTGAACATTGTTATATTGTTGATTATGTACCATAATTTTTTAATAGTTTTATTTTGCATCACTGTCATATAAGTGATCATATTGATCATTGTTGTTTATTTTAATAAAGTTATTCAATTGTAAATCGTTTGTTGGAAGATCCAGTTTCTATTTACTGCTGTTGGACGCGAGTGCTCAATAAACCTTTGTAATTTTTGTGTTTTCAGGAATGTGGTATCGAAGTCGGTCTGTTGGTCTGAAAACAAGTTGTCATCGTCGTCTTTACTCATCTGCTGCTAACGTGTCTGAGTGTTCGGTTTCAGTAGACTTTGATCCATTGACAAATAATTGTATCTTAGTTTAGTATAAGTGTCTCCATATTTGCTGTACACCATAAGGTTTTAATGAATAAATGTATTAAATGGTAAAGGATGATGATCATGTTCTTATTATTCATATTGTCGTGGAGGTCCATTGAAGAGAATCTTTCGTAACAAATGTTTAAGATGTAAAGGCAAGTATTTTGTTTAATAACATTCATCTTTAGTAATTGAACGGAAACTTAAATACTTTGATGGTGTGTTCATATTCTGGGAATCAAACAACTGGAGTTCTGTGGCCTTATTATGATTGAAGGGGTATACAAATTGAAGGTGTCACAATCTTTATTTTTGGTAATCTACGGGAATATTTTGAAGTTTATCAGATATCAGCTTTTGATGAAGACAAATTTATCTCCAATTTTAAGGGTTTTTAAGTTTCCCAAGTTGATTTTGAATCAAATGCAAGACTGGATTTACGTAAGTGGATCTATTGAAACCTGATGGAGGTCATTTTATCGATACACTTCATGGGTGGATTCCAATTTAAGGGATTATGTATGTAGTGATTTAAGACATTGATGTCTATAAGATGGAGTTGGTGTATTAGTAAATTGTGTTCAATTTGATAATGACTTCTGAATTGGTCTGCTTTTACTTTTAATTGCCACAGCAAAGGGAATTTTGTTTTGTAAAAACGATTCTCCACCTTCTGCTTGTGTGCTCATAAAAATACAGTGGGTATTTATAGCAATTGGTTAAAATAATGTGAGAAATTTATTACAAATGCAATTTTGTTTGGTATTTCTTCCCACTGGTTCTTGATCAAAGTACTTAAAAAGGATTTTTAAGATATTATCCATATTTTAAATATTTTTCTGAGACTTATTCTTCACAGTAAGGGAAATGTTTTTTTGGAGGTCGTCAATCCCTTCAAAGTTTATCAGAACACACACAATACGTGGTAAGTTTCAAATTATCGCATAAGGATTAATTATTGTTTGCAAAGGATATGAATGGATTTTCAAATGTTTTCCTTAAGCTCCACGAACTATGAATTCTTTTGTATCTTTGTTTGTTTTACATTATTTCATCATTATTAATCTGTTTATCAAAACATATAGATCTGTTGATTTATATTTGCCAATTTTGGTGTGTACTGTGGCTGAAATTTTTCTCTCATTGTGAACTGGCGCCCTGGGAATTTGGTGTTATTTCTAAAATATATTTCTGACATATTAGTCTGACTTAAAAAAGAAATATTAATTCAAATATTGAATATCTTCCAGATCCATATTCAAATTGATGGATGTCAATTCTATGACAAGTTTATGACATCAAAATTGAAGCAAATATATAATAAGGTAATTTTTTAAATTAAGCATTCCTAGGATGATGACGGTCTCCACCTGGTCGATTTTGACTGCAATATTTACTACAATGCATTGACCAGTGCCAAAATTGTATGTGCAAAATGCAAACATTTAGGTGCTAACTCATTTGTATTTTTTTTATGTTCACTCGTAATTACCTATACAAAGCAGATTATAAAATAAAACAACGTTTTTACTGTGAGACAGAGAGTGAGTGAGTGAATTTATTCTAGAACATAATTGTCATACAATTGTACAATAGTTCTTAATAACACAATAGATGGCATTACTGGTATTTTGATACAATACAAACACCCCCACTTATCAAAATAACATAGATGCCCATAACCTTTTACCCTATCTAAATAAAGCAAAATAATTATATTGATTTTACATCCTCTATTCCTAATAACTGCAAAAAATAATAATGCTTGGTATTACTTAAACCTCTAGTGAACAGGTCTGCTGGCATTTCAGCTGTTTCCAAATATCTTGGTTCAATAATTTTATCAGCGATACAGTCTTTACAAAAATGGTAGTGAATATCAATATGCTTGGTTCTCTTGTTAAAACTACTACTTGAATACTGCCTAAGTGCACCCTGGTTATCATTAAATATAGTTAATGTATAGAACCCATTAATAATTTCCTTTGACAAATTATGTAAATAAATTGCTTCCCGGCAAGCATCTGCTATGCCCATATATTCAGGTTCTGTACTTGAGAGAGCAACTGTTTTCTGTTTTTTAGCTTCCCATGACACTATATTACCAGGTAATTTGAAACACATACCTGTGTAAGAGCGCCTGTCAATAATATTGTTTCCCCACTCTGCATCAATTTACCCTTCTAATTTATCATTACCACATCTAGTATATTTTAACCCATAATATGTCTTTTTTAAATATTTTAAAATTCTTTTTGCATAAGCCCAAGTTACATAATCGTAGCAATTGTTAAATGTAATAAGGAAACTTACTGAATATGTTATATCAGCCCTGGTTAATACTGCCAAATACTTGAGCCCACCTATTAGTTTCTTATAAGGTATTCGACTATCACAATTTTTATTTCCTAAATTAATATTCAATTTAGACTCTAAAGGTGTATCAGCTAGCTTACAATTTGTCATGTTGAATCTATTCAATAACTGATTAATATAATTATCTTGGCTCAATGTAACAGTGCCACTAATTTTATCTATATTTACAGTCATTCCTAAAGAATTTTTAACTTTTCCTAAATCGTTTAATTTGAACTTTGAAGACAATACCTTTTTTAAATTATTACATTCAATATCATCACTTGTAAACACAAAGAAATCATCGACATACAATGTTATTATTGTTCTCCTTTTATCCTTAATTTTAGTGTACAAACATGGTTCTAGTTAGGAGCGTTTTACAGATAATGCAAACAGTAATCTCAAAGTTGAATGCCTTACTATAAGCAAAAAGATCTCTGAATAGTCCACATTTTGCTTCTGCATAATATAGCCCTTGGCTACTAAATGGGCTCGGTAGCGAACACTATTTTCACTGTTCATCTTTTTACTCTGTACCCACTTACACTTCATTACAGTTTCATTATTCATTGGCATACCTACTAGCTCGCATGCATGATTGTACTCAAAAAATTTAAGTTCGTCTTTCACTGCCTGTAACCACTGTCCTTTTTCTACTCCTTGTAGTGCTTCTTCCAGACAATCCATTAGCATAATTAAACACTTCCTTCGGAATACACATATTTGACATTCCATACCTTTCTTGTTTCATTCTGATTCTGCTGGGTCTGACACACTGTTTAGGTGAGTCATAAGCATCTTCATACTCACTAGGAACATAAGTATCATCTGATGTTTTAAGCTGTGTATCCTCATCCATAGTTATTTCATTTGAACATGGTCTATCCTTGACAATTGTGTCCCCCACTGAACATGAGTTCAATAATTGGTACACTGGCAAGTTCTTCTCATCTTCCATGACTACAACATCTCTGCTTGTTGTCACACGTTTTGTTCTAGGGTTATATATTCGGTAACCTTTAATATCATCTGGATAACCCACCAGTAAGTGGTCCTCTGACTTTCTGTCACATTTCTGGCGCTTCTCTTTAGCCACATGAACCATGACCTTGTTTCCAAATATTCGCAAGTGACTTATGTCTGGCTTGCGTCCAGTCCAGACTTCATAAGGAGTCTTTTCATTCAATGCAGGAAGAATAGTACGATTTTGTAAATAAACAAAAGTGTTGGTAGTCTGCCCAGAACTGTTTTCCCATGTTTGCATCAAATAATAAGCATCTGGCTTTCTCTACAATTGTTTGATTACTCCATTCTGACAAGCCATTTTGTTCAGGGATATACGGGTTACTCCTTTGGTGAATGATACCTTCTTTCTTGAGAAATGAGTCAAATTCTTTGTTACAATATTCACACCCATTATCCCTTCTCAATATCTTTATTTTCTTATTAGTTTGTTTCTCAACTTTTGCTTTAAACTCTGAAAAACATCGGAATGCTTCACTTTTATGTTTAATGAAATATACGTGTATCATTCGATTAAAGTCGTCTATAAATAAAATGAAGGTACCTGGAATCTGCTAGTGATTCATACTCCATAGGTCCACATATCTCAGTGTGAACACTGTTTACCCTCACAGCAAATTGTACATGACGTCTTGTCAATATCAATTTTCTTGGAGGTTCATTCCTTCTACACCACTTGTCATTTTATTTAGATATTTACTATTAACATGGTCCAATCGGCGATGCCAAGTGATCCCGGAGGCAGACAAATTAGCCACCACACTATCAGGTACTATCAACTTGTATACTCCATTATTCAACACAGCTGTGGCCACCAATTCACTGTTTCTATTGTATACTTTACAGCCATTTGTCGTAAACTGAACTGTATTACTGGATTTTATTAACTGGCTCACTGACAATAGGTTAGTAGTCAATCCTAGAGCGCATAATACATCTTTAACTGGTATTTCAAATTCACATTTATCGGTTTTTGTTACAATGGTCACATCTTCGGAACCTAATACTTGTAACCTCTCGCTGTTAGCAACACATATATCCTTCATTTTGTGATATATAGCATTCTCAATCCACTGTTCATTAGCTGTTGATGCATGCTCGGACCTGAATCAATGTACCAGTCATATTTGTTGCATTTGCCACTCAGAAACACTGCACTAAACGCATTACTTTGTTAACATGGTATTTCTTTTGTATTGAACTGGTGTTATCACTATTTGGACACTGATTCTTGTAATGACCGAGCTTATATTTTGATATAATACTAACAGATAACAACATTTTTGTACTAAGTAAAATATGTATAATTTGATTGAAGAACACCTCTGCCACCAAACACCAACTATAAAATCCAACCAACCACCATCGAGGTTCGTAAAATTCCATTTGTCACTAGGTGTTACAGAAACAGAAACAGAAACTTTTTTATTCAATATAGATTATAAATAATACTTATTGAAAGTCACTCTTTTGTTTGATTACCACTGGTTCGGAAAAAACCTCTGTCCTGGGAAGAACCAGCAAGAAACCCAGCGGGACTTTTTTTTAAAATAACAGCTTACAATCATGATGTTACACAAATTAACAACACAACAAATTAGAAATAGCTTGGTAGCGATCACCTCATTTCCAGGGGTTATTATCATCCATAAATTCCTTAATATTATAATAACCCTTTTTATACAAACTTAGTTTAATAAAGTTTTTGAACTTTGAACAGGTCAAACATTGTATATTTTCTGGAATTTTGTTGTAAAAGCGTATACATCGCCCCAAGAATGAATTACTGACTCGATGGAGTCTAGTAACTGGTACTACTAGCTTGTGTCTGTTCCTAGTATTTACAGAATGAATATCACTTATTTTTGTAAAACTACTTTTATTTTTGTGTACGTACATTACATTTTCATAAATGTATTGAGAGGCCAAAGTTAATATATTAATTTCCTTAAATTTTTGTCGCAGCGACTCTTTAGGCTTTAAATCATAAATTGCTCTTATGGCCCTCTTCTGCAAAACAAATATAATTTCAGTGTCAGCTGCGTGTCCCCATAGCAAAATACCATACGACATTATGCTATGGAAGTAGCTGAAGTAAACTAGTCTAGCTGTTTCAACACTGGTTAAACTTCTAATCTTTTTTACAGCATATGCTGCAGAACTAAGTCTACTTGCTAGTTTTGATATATGGGGGCTCCATTGAAGCTTCGCGTCTAGTGTGATTCCAAGAAAAATGGTGGTATCTACAAGACTCAGTTTCTCCCCATTTAAAGGAGAGTTAGGAGTCCTTTTCTGTCTAGGAGCCCGTCTGGCTAGGTCCATTCTCTTAGCTATTTCTGACGCCAAGCAACAGTGCTTGCACTGCTGCTTGTTCCCATCTGAAGGGTACAAAGAACCACTTTATAGCGGGCTGTAAGGTATTCCATCTTAGTTCTCAAAGCTGAAAACGTATCTGCATTTAAAATCCGTAAACTTAGTTTCATTGAAATGTGTAGTTTTCGCGTAAGCATAAGAAATCATAACGTAAAACAAGTAATCTTAGGATGGAGTTCCGTGGATGGAAAAACTTGATGTGACATTTTAATGTTATTTAATCTTGTAATTTGTTTTGATATATTTTTAATTATTTAAGAATGTTACGGTGTTTACGCACCGAGCGGGTGGCGAGCTACGCGAGCGATACTTTCTTTCATATCTATTCACTCACTCGCACTATAATACTGTGAGTATTTTTTTTTAATAGGATCGGGTGACAAACGAGCACAGTTCACCTGATGGTAAGTGGTTACTGTGAGCCATAGACATCTACATCTATCGTCAATAAAGACTCAAGATGCAGATGCGTTGTCACCCGTGAGGAATAAGATGGAATGCCTCTTTGCCAGTAAAAAGGGTCTCCGGTTCTCTACACTCACCATACGAAACACAGCAGCGTTAAGCTGCTATTTTACGCTGGTTTTCTGTGAGAGCGTGGTCCTTCCCCGGTCGAGCCGACCCATTCGTGCTACAACCATAATATAGCTGCAGCATGGCTCTATAGTCTGCGCGGAAGTGCTAGTCATCGCCTTAGGTATGTGAGCGGCAGGACGGGGGAGGTAGACAAACATCAAGCTGACGCAGTCTGCCGTCAACCGCCGCGACGGTTACACGATTCAGTTGTACGCGACAGTTTTCTCCAAAAATACATGAGATAAATATTCTAAGATGGGTCCGCCAATACCACGACAAGTGAAAAATATTATTTATAATGTACATAGTTTTTTTTTAAGACGAAAGGGCGACAAGGAAAGTATGGAACACAAATATGATATGAACATTAATAAATTAGTAGCAGAGGCTACAGGAGTGTCTGCCCGCACCGTAATGCGAATTGTAGCTGAAGGAAATTCGAGTCTACAAACATCGGAAATTGCAAAATTTTCATCTCCGCGGAAACCTAAAGAAATAAAAAAGAGAATCCACATTGATGATTTTGACATGGGAGTTATACGAAGAAAAATTCATCAATTTTATACTATTGATAAGAAAATCCCAAGTATTCGTAAGCTGCTTGCAGCTTTAAAAGAAGATGGCATTGTGAACTGCGGTTGTACCTATTTACGACAGCTTTTACATAAGATGGGATATTTATTTAAAAAATGTAAATCTAAGAGACACATTTTAATTGAGAGGCCCAGTATTGCTGAATGGAGAGTAAGGTATTTAAGAGCTATACGGAAACATAGAAATGAAAACCGAAACATATATTATCTGGACGAAACCTACGTTAATAGTAGCCACACCTCCAATATGTGTTGGCAATCCGAATCTGAGCCTGGAATTTATGCTGATATTGGCAAAGGGCGTCGTTTGGTGATTGTTCATGGTGGTAGCCGAGACGGATTAGTTAACGGTGCCTTAACAATTTTCAAATCTGATTCGAAATGTGGGGATTACCATGGCGATATGAATGCCACAAATTTTCATAACTGGGTTAGTCACAAATTGAAAAATAAACTAGCTCCTAATTCAGTGGTCGTAATGGACAATGCCTCCTACCATTGTGTACAGGTAAAGAAAAAACCTACTATGTCAAGTTTAAAAAGGGACATGCAAGATTGGTTACGCGAACGTAATGTTGAATTTACACCAGATAATACAAAAGCCGAACTCTTTCATTTGATAAATAGAACTCAGTCCGAAAAAATTTACGTCATTGACGAAATATTAAAGGCTTCAGGTCATATCGTTCTTCGCCTTCCGCCATATCATCCTGATCTCAACCCCATTGAGCTTGTGTGGGCCGATATAAAGAACAATTTAGCTACAAATTATATAAATACTTCATTGGACGACAAAATTCCAATCATCACAAAATTGTTTTCTGAATTCACTCCAGGAAGATGGCAAAAGTGTGACGACCACGTACAGAAAATCGAGAACCAATATTGGGACCACGATATGAGGTTTGACAATGTAATAGACGAGTTGATCATAAACCTGGGAAACGATTCAGATTCTGAGGAGGATATGGAAATTGAAGACATGTATAGTAATGAAGAAGAAGAAGATATGGATTAATTTTGTGCTATAACGGATTGTTTTTTTTTTATAGGATAAGGATGACAAACGAGCACACAGTGCACCTGATGGTAAGTGCTTGCTGCGGCCCATAGACATCTACATCTATCCTCTATTACAAATCAAAATGTAGATGCGTTGTCACCTGTGATGACTAAGATGGATTGAGGTTTTAATAACCTCCTTATTTGTGATACAAACCCACAGGTCGAACATAGAATTCTCGCAGTATGGTAATTTAGGTTTAATTTGGGTGGTGAGTTTATAAAACTGTTTTGTATCATAAATAATAAAATGTAATTAACGCTTTTAAATACGTGTTAATTTTTGTTTAGCCCGGAAAATATAAATAATTTACCCATTATATTAATTAAGACAGTTTCTAACATGGTTATCCGGAGATTTATCTGTCCTCAAATATCTCGTGTGCGTCTTGTCAATCGCGTCCTCCCCCGTCTCGCCGCTTGCATACCTAAGGCGATGACTAGCACTTCCGCGCAGACTATACCACGTAGTATGGCGATTAAACGATCTTGATCTTCCATAATACAAGTTTTCCTAGGATGGAGTTCAGTGGATGGAAAATTTTTTGGTGTGTCATTTTAATGTTATCTTATTAATTTATTATTATATAATTTATTATTTATTATAATATACTATTTTGATATATTTTTCATTATTTATGAAATTTAGTGTCGAAATAAGTACAAGTACACATAAATATTTTAATTGTTACGCAGTAATCGAATGTTAATAATCGATTATGTCTTCTACCGGTAGAATAGTGGTATTCATTAATAAATAGTACGGTTGCAATCTGTTTTGATAAATAAACAACCAAATGCAATTAATATTTTTTTCATAGGTACTTATAGTCAATTACCATATTTTTTATTAGAAAAATATTTGCCGCAACGGCATTGACCGAGCTTTTCTCGAGTCGATAATTTCAACACTTTTCCTAATAAGTTTGTACCCTGGGTAACATACTGCAAACCTAAAATTGGTCGTCTTTGTAAATTTTTAGTACTTTTACTGCATAATCTGGACATATGGCAAGTATTCAGACATTTTTATTTGCTAAATGAAGCTGGCCTTGGATTTGGAAAAACCAGTCATTATTTTGATTTAATGTTACACTTGAATCACTGAATTTATAATCTTTAACTTTTTTTTGGTCGAAAGGCCGTGTCAAAATCTATTCCGAAAGAAAACATTTTTCTATAATAATATTTTTTTGTTTGCTCAATTGTGCCAATGCTACAGACTCGTTGTCCCTACCATGTTTGATGGAAGAGATGTGATCTAGAATATAACTATATAAAATAGTTTTAAACCGATCGATCAAAAACTGCGGTCGTAGTTGACGATGCTCTAGCACGCACTCAATAGCAGCGCCTATACGGCAATCGACGCACACTACGATAGTATCGAAACGACGCAGCGCGCGAAATCAACTGACGCAGGTCCAACCTCGACAAGCGCTCGCGAGATAGTGATCGCAGATGGCCGGCGCAGTGAAATATATGGTACTTTTATTTAATTAATTAAAATATAATAGCACCGATTTAAAAAGTAAAAATAATAGTATAGTTTAAGCAAATGTTGATGATTATTTTGGTATATATTTTACGTCTAAATGACGTAGAACTTCGGCTTGTATCGAAGCTTTTTCGGTCGTTTTTTTGAATTATGTCGATTTTTTTCCTAGCGTGAAAGGCATATAACGAAAATGTATTCTATAATTATTAAAGTGTAGGATATTTGGGAGATAAAAATATTTTTTTTGATGGTCAATAATCAATAGAATCTACAAATTAGAGCTCTCAAATCATGTCTTCGAGAGTTTTTGCATAAACATGCAAATAAATAAATAAGTTATCTAATATTCGCTCTGAGCTTATTGTAGTAGAGAAAACGAACTATTTTTACCAAGTAATTGTTATTTCAAGCAACGAACGATAAACATACAATTTCAACGAGGAGACCTTGTAATTTCGCGTTTTTTGTAATACGCCTCTGTTCCTGACGTCACTACCTATGATACTCCCCGGCTCGTGTCGTCGGGCAGCGGACCTCAAACCGGTTCTGCGAGCGCTTCACGGCCCCACCACCTTCGTGGAGACAACGCGGCACCGCTGCAACATCTGCGAACGCACGCATTACGGCTACCTCTCTTATAGCAACCAATAAATTACCTACACAGTCTACATATTGAAATTCTAATTTAGTCAAGAATTCCACCAGCACAAGTAGAGCTTGATATCCAACACCTCTTAAAGGAGAAATATTATAGACCATGCTGTTAGTATTATTTAAACGTTTCATTTGCTTTTATAATTTAAAATTTGTTAAAGTAATTTTTGACATTACTTCCTTACGCGGTCAAAAACGAACGCACGTGTTTTACAACTAATCAGGTATTACTTAAGTAAATGGACAATTTAGCATCAGAACCTTCTGCTACATGCGCGCTAATCATCGATGTTTACGGTGCTGATAGTTCACTTTAGTATTTATGGTTCTAAGTTTATGTCTCAAGTGTAAAACAATAATTTATACCAGAGCATTTAGATGAAAGATGAATTATAAAGTTAAAGCCGACCACATTAAACACAGACTTCAGGTGTGCTCGAACAGATTTCTTTGAAAAATAAACAATACCTTTGGAACATAGAATTCTATATATTGGAATCGTATTATCTTCTAATATCTTTTATACCTAGTTAGGTCATAAATTCTGTCACATGTTTAATATAAAATAATTGAAACAAGTTTATTCATTATGTAACCATTTATATACCAAAATGAACTTAACAAAACATAGATTCTTATGACACTAAAGTTTATTCAAAATGACCTCTGTGATTTTGAATACAGGCATTCAATCTGCGCGGCCAGTCGTCTATCGCAGCACGAACGAGGTCCATGTCAATATCGGCGGCTGCCTTAATCAAGGATGTCTTGAGTGACTCCAAATTGGGATGAGGCTTTGAGCACGCCTTTTCCTACAAGTGTTGCCATATCTTGTAATCTAACGGATTCAAATCTGGACTGGAGGAGGGCCAGTCTTCGTGCCGGGTGAAGTCGTTTTCACGCGCCGCCAGCCAGTCTTGTGTGCTCTTCGCTCTATGAGCTGGCGCCGAATCTTGTTGGAATACCCAGTGCCTGTTATTAAACATGGTATGAGAAACAGGTTCCACAAGTTTCGTCCGGACTGTACTTTGATACACAACTGCATTCGTTTTTACACCTTTCTCACAAAAATATACCTCTGTTAAGCCCCAATAAGAAACTCCCAACCATACCATGAGCGAGGATGGAAAATGACCTCGTTGGACACGCGGAATACGGTTGCTCGCTTCTTCACTACTGTGTGCGTACACCTTATCATTTTGTTTGTTGTAGCTCTCTTCTACGGTAAAAACTTTTCATCCGAAAAAAGAATTTCCCGATTTTTTTCCCGCGTACCACTTCAACAAAGCGCGGCATCTCTTTAGTCTCAGGTCCATTAGACGAGCATTCAAACGATGTCCTGTTTTTCTTCGATATGCCCGAAGCCCTAAGTCTTCATTTAACATCCTTTTCACCGTGGTTCTGCTTAACCCAATCTGAAGGGCCAACAGTTTCTGCTTACGTTTGGGATTTCTTTGAATTCGCGCCTTCACAGCTTTTATCACTGCTGGAGTCCTAACAGACCGAGGGCGACCACTTCTTGACCTGTCATCTACACTAGAGTCTTCATTGTATCGTTTGATGGTACGATAAACGAATCTTTTGGTTATATTCAAATTTTTCAGTATGTCAAAAATTTGAATTGGCGCGTAACCGCAACGATGCAACGCAATAACTGCAACACGGTCTTCTTTAAGCGTCCACTCCATATTTAAAAATGAGTAAAATTCTAAAAAGTATACAGTTTTATTTTCATGAAATTCGAATTCAATAAACTTTTTTGTGGCCAGCATTCTAAAAGAAAAGTTTTTACTGTGTGACAATACTTATGACCTGACTAGGTATGTACGTAAATAAATAAATAGTACGGTTGCAACCGGGTGAAATAAATAAATCATACAAAAATGTAACTAATCATTATTATGTACAGTCTATTATCATAATTTAAATTAGAAAAATATTTCCCGCAACGGCATTGATCGAGCTTTTTTTGAGTCGATAATTTCATGCAGTACACATTTATCATAAAAAATTGGAACTTCGGTAACATCTTTAAAATCCAAAATTATTCGTGTGTGGATTTTTAGCACTTGTACTGGATAATCTGGGCCAGTCCATAAAGTAGCCAAACATTTTTTATTTGCTATAATATAAAGCTGGCCCTGGATTGGTAAAACTAGTCATGATTTTTATTTATTGTAACACTTGAATCACTGAATTTTTAACAAGAGGAGCAGAATTTTTGTTAGGCCGTCTTTTTACATACTTTTGCTAAAGTTGATGGCGTAACAATGCATAGACGTAACTCCAGCTACAAAGCGCTTTCAGCTTGTAAAATTGTGGCGCGTTCTATTTCGTGACAATCGGTTATCATGAAGATTTTTTTAGAAAAGTAGAACTCCCATTCTCATCATCTTCTGGGCGCTGACATTGACTACCGTAATATGTTTGATCAAAATTAACACTTTCACGGACACTGGACACTGCACCAAGTTTGAAATATGACAAAAATTCCATACAAATTACTACCACGCCTATATACTTCCTGACACATAGCAATATATTTGTACAATTGTGGTGAGACAGTACGCTTCTGTACGTGGCCCGAAATAATCGTGCTGTCATATCGTAGTCAAAGTTATAGTCTTCTAATGACAGTACGCTTATGTACGTGGCACGAAATTGTCGTGCTGCCACGTCGTAATTTAAATTATGGTCTTCTAATGACAGTACGCTTATTTACGTGGCACGAAATAGTCGTGCTGTCACATCGTAATTAAAATTATGGCGTTCATATGACAGTACGCTTCGGTACGTGCCACGAAATAGTCGTGTTGTCGCATCGTGATTTATATCATCGTGTGCATATGACAGTAAGTCTCTGTACGCATCGCGAATAGGCGTACTGCCATGTTGCTATCAAGATTATGTGTATAAATAAGTGTAGTATGACAGTACGTCAGTTTACGTCCCTACCATAGGAATCATGATGATAATAATCAAAACTTTGTGAAACAAAAAAAAATGTTTTATTGAATAAATCAAAACTATGGAAAATCATATTTTTATACAAAACTTAAAAAAAAAAACAAAATAACAGTCTTATATTTAAACAAAAATATTTTCTTAACTTAAACTTGGTTAATATAATTAACAAAACAAAATAATTATCAGATACGTCTTTTCTCTCGATTAACATATAATTATTATTTTTCTAGGTCTCCTTTTTTTAATAAGCTAAAAAGCTAACTAACTTAAGCATAACAAACAGTCTTTTGTTTTTCAAAAATGTAGTATCACAATATTTTATAAAATCTAGATTATCATAATATCAAGGATGACATTTTAAATAAGGAATATTTAAAATGTCATCCTTGATATTATGATAATCTATGTATTTATAAAATTACACTTGACAGTTTACAAATCTTTATGCCAATCTTCGAAACATGAAGGACAAAGTGCTGAAAAATTATTGCAACCTTTACAGAAGTAACTTGTGTCACGTCGTACCTTTTGTTTCGAACATTGCTTACATGTCAAAAATGCGTACTTCTTCTTAGAATTTGCAGATGGCATCATGCGAGTCGGCCAATGTCCATGGTTTCTTGAATTTGGCTGAGAAAAGTTGTCCTGCGTTTCTACCTTACTGCGTTCAATATTTTCATGAAGCTGTGATTCAGTTTGAAGCACATTCCGCCTGCTGTCATTCTTGTTGGAATTTCGAATTAAATCTTTTCCTTTTTCTTCTTTCAGGCCGATCAATTTCCTGATTAACTCTTCTCTGTATGTCACATACTCATACTTCTTATCTTTTTTCACAAAATTTTTATAAATGTAAAAGGAATTCCAAACTGTGGTGTCCATAATATGAAATAGGACCTTTTTATACCACCTTATAGTTTTTCTTGGTGATGAATAATAACTTATCATCTGATCCAAGCGATCAACACCGGACATGGATTTGTTATATCTGTTCACTTCTATGGGTTTAGTTTTCTTTTTTCCAAATCGGTTTGTGACTTCAATGAGCGCTGGATGATCCATGGTGGTAACCATATAGACGTCTCTTTTATCTTTCCAGGCATTTACATAGACTTTTCCTTTCCTAGCCCACACATGCTGGCCTTTTGGAGTTTCTTTTGTACAATTTCTTTAGGATTGTCTTTTCTTGTCTTACGCAGCGTGCCGTTGGTGTGTGTTTTCAAATCAAGTAATTTTTCAGAAAGGGTCACTGAATTGTAGTAATTGTCCATAAATAAGTTATGCCCTTTTAAAAGATGGGCGTATTAAACGCAGTACCAGTTTGTCAGTCCTCCTTTCATTGGCTTCAATATTTTCTGCTCCGCTATACATTATAATATTTAAAACGTATCCATCCGCTGTAGTTAAAACGTAAAACTTTATGCCATACCTAGCTTTTTTTGATTTTATGTACTGACGAAATATTAATCGTCCTCTATAAAGTAGCAAAGACTCGTCAAGAGACAAGTCTTGACCTGGATTGAATACATTTCGAAAATTTTGAGTCACTGTGTTTATAAAACCTTCAATTTTTCCAGACCCTTTCGCACCCAAATCAGCTATATACAGACATCTTAAGATTTGCTCATACCTTCTGCAAGACATTGTATAGTTAAAGACAGGGTGAAAATACAAGGGGTCGTCATATGTAAAAAGTTTCCTTTGTTGTGGAACACGAATGTGACCATTTAATAAAGTAAGACCTAAAAATTTTTTCATCTCTTCAGGATTTGTTACTCGAAAGGCAGCATTGCGTGCATGACGTGTATGTGGCCTATTTGTTTTGGTAAGAGCAGCTCCATAGGAATTTGTTCGTTCAACCAAATACTCTATCATCTCTGTGGTAAATAAATGGTTAAATACTTCCTCGCATGTGGTATTTTCATGAACTTCAAATGTCGGGCCTTTCTCTGGAGATCTAAAGTCAATAGAAGCAATATTTGAGACAGTATCTTCCCAAATTGTGTCATTTGGTGGAGGAGTCCCTCGACGTACTGTATTTACTGAACTTCTTCTTCTGCTCGGTCCAGCCTCATTTAAATTTGCCTGAGATTGTGCTTGATTTTGTGGAGATTGATCTTGAACCACCTCATTCAGCTCCTCTCTCATTCTAGCTGTAAGTTTTTCTTCTCCTCTTCTATCCTGAGAAGGCTCCTGAATTTTTGGAAATTGAACACCAATCACCTCATTAATCTCCAGACTCATTCTTATTTCTTCTTCGACTTGTTGATTTCTATATTCCGGTAGCTCATAATTTTGTTGTAAGTGAATATCATTGTTATCTTTATGATTTCTAACAGCATTGTTCTCTTGACTTTCATACCTTTGAACGCTGCTTTCTTTCTCATTCCCTGCTACTTGAATTTGATGGTGATCGAAAATACTACAATCGCTTATGTCTGAATCACGTTCGGTTTCATCAAAGTTTCTTTCATTAACAGAATTCTGGTCTAACTGCTCGCCATTATCGCTTTGATCGCCAGCAGAACCGTGATACGACTTCTCGCTTTCAGACCCAATTCTTTGTCTATTCCGTTCAAAGCGACTTCTATGAACATCGAAAATTTCACTGTAGTCACTGCTGCTATCTTCATCTTCATCAGCGGGCTCGTAATTGTGGTCTGAACCATATTCACCATCATCGTCAGAATATGGATCGTGGTTAGATTCATCATCTCGAAACAAAGATTTTGGCTTTCCTCTGCTCAATTTGTTTCTTTTTGAGGCCATCTGAAGACAATTGAAAGAGAATTAGACGCACAACAAAAGAAAAAATCGATACTTACCTACAAAATAATATGAAGTTTATTCCATTATATTTTTAAATTTATCGTGCTTTTTATGCTAACGGTTTTTTGATACAATAAGTATTAACCATTTTTGAAAGACTGGTTACTGTTCGGTTATCTTTATACAGACAATAACATATTATAACACTAAATTACTTACCAGGAAAAACACGTAAGTATTCAACGAACGACGACGAACGATTTGACGCAAGCGAGCGTGTCCTCTCCTCCCGGTGACACTACGCGACTGGTTCGTTTGACTCACGACGCGAACGCAACGGCTACATTCGTGGTGCCACAACATGTGTACTATAGCAAAATTTGCATGTATGTGTAGATAGCACACATTTACTATCATAAAATTTTATGTTGTGACAGTACAATCTTGATACTGTTTGGGTTATGACAGTAAAAGTAGATCTTCATATTAACCGTAAACGAATACCGCGCTTATTTACGTAGTGGCAAATAAGGAAAAAAATATTTTATCGTAAATAGGCGTTGTGTCGTAATATAAATTCAGAATGTCACGAAAATGGGCGTACTGTCCGTGAATGTGTTAATGCACTTGAGACTACGTTTGGTTCGCTGCATCAATCTACGGGTATTTTTGGTTTCTCTAATAAATTCTAATCGTTTAGGGGTTTTCCTGGACTTTTCTAGCAGTTAGATTTATACAATGTATACTATGGTTTGCCCGTGTTGAATGCCACAACGGCTGTGTAACACAGAGCGTGGTATGTGTTCTTCAATGAAAAGTTCACTCGTTTTCCATCCAGTACTTCGGCTGCGATTCTGTTGAACTGCTCTGCTTGATTATTTGTAGATCAATGTAAGAAACTCCTTGAGTTATGTGTGAGTTGCGCAGCATTTTTTTTTTGGAGTCTCACATCGAGGTTGGTGGTTGTGTGGTTAAATGAATTTATCATTTCTTCTTTTATCCTTACAACTAGCTGTTCCCCGCGACTTCGCATGTAATTTAGGATTTTAATTATGTTGCGCGGAAACCTAATTCTTTTCTAAAATATAAGTAGCCTAAGTTACTCCTTTATAACAACAGCTATCTGTGAAATCAATCCCGTCGAAATTGGTCCAGCCGTTTCAGAGATTAGCCGGAACAGACAGACAAAATTTTAAAAATTGTGTTTTTGTTATAAGTACCGTATATACTTTAATATGTATTTAGTAAAAAGCTGTTATTTTACATTACAAACAGACATGTCGATTTTATTTATTTGTTTTATTTACATGTCCACAACTATTAAGTATATCTTTTTGAATACTTAGGATCATTTGTGCAACTGTGCCGTTTTCTGTTTTTTCTGTATTTGATGGCATAAGGAACGGCCGTGCATAATCTGATCTGACGACGTACATACATATAACGTTTACGTTCTGGGTTCATGATTGATGTCTGTTAATAATTTAAAATTTTTGCCGTTATTATTTCTCAATAAATATTAGTACATGCCATTTTTTGAATAGGTACATCAGGGTAAGGTCTACCTTCAAGTATATTTTTGTATGTACTTTAGTCGCCATCTGAAATTAATGTTTTATATATGAGGGTTGCTTTCTTTAATCGAGTTTTAAAAACCCTCTTATTCAATGCTAGTTGAAGAGCCGAAAAATGTTTCGTACATTCATGTGCTCGTGGAGTTATGCTTTTTTTTGTCACGAATACAAATCACACAATATTTCTTGCGAATGCCTATATGCAGAAATTTCCCCGAATACTCTCCGATAACGGCCTCCACACCGCAGTGCGGAAAAATTGGTTTATTATGATCGTTTGCAACAACATCTATAAGGCATGCACTAATATTGTTCGAATGCCTGCACGATTGACATCGCCACGCATCTTTGCAGCTTCGGCTTCTGCTTCAGCAGCTTTTTGCATTATCTTCTCTGCAGTATTTTTTCTGCATTTCTGGCCCTCACCTCAGGAGTGGTGGTCGGTCGGGAATAGACGTAAAGGAGTTGTAGTTGATTGCCCATATTTCGATTTGCCCTTTTGCGATCTGGATCTCTGAAATGACACATTTCAATTAACATTATTATCATATTCTAAGGCATGAAGGGCCAGTAAATGAAAACCTTAATAATAAATAACATTTGCTAACACAAAAAAGTATATAAGATAGTGAACGCCCCGTCTCTTCAATAAGTTGCCATTCTTGTTTTATATTGTAAAGTATCATGTATGTAGATGTGTTGGTGGGGCAGAGTGGGGTTCGTTCGTTTTCAAAATCATGAATTAGATGTTTACCTAAAAAGAGGCATACATTACCTATATTTTCTTGTGGTTTAATGTGACAGTCCTAATAGTATTATTAATTATTTTCGTTTTCAATTGATTAAAAAAACCATTTGTTTACCTATTGTCTTCTTTTCAGTATTTTTAGGGTTACGTACCTCAAAAGGGAAAAACGGAACCCTTATAGGATCACTTTGTCGTCCGTCTGTCTGTCTGTCTGTCAAGACCCTTTTTCTCAGGAACGCGTGGAGGTATCAAGCTGAAATTCATATCAAATACTCAAGTCTACTATCCCTTGGAGTTCTGAAAAAATCAAACTTCTAAGCCAACGCAATCAAAAGATACAGCCGTTTATGCCGCAAATTTTCGACATTCGCAAGGGAATCAAAACCTACAGGGTACTTACCGTGAACTCAGAATCTTAAAATTTGGTATGAAGCAACGTAGTATAGCGTAGATAAAAGAAAAATTGCGAAAAGCGTAAATTTTTAGTTACATCATATATTAAAAATATTTTTAATAATTTTAAACTTATATACCTACGGATTTGTTCGGAACCCTCGGTGCGCGAGTCCGACTCGCACTTGACCGATTTTTTTGTTTTCATATCTTCTTAGTGTTCTAGATGGAATGCCATATCTTCGTGATATTTCGTTGACGCCAAGAAGCCTTTCGACATTCCATCCAAAACTCGTTATTTTAGTTGTTAATAGTTGCCTTAGTTAATAGTTGCCCCTAAGAGCATCTATACTCACGAGAAATCGGAGCGTTAATCCTTTTCGGTAGGGAATCCCTACTATGGATAGGCGCCCCTATTTAAAAAAAACATCGTTAATTAAATTTAAAACCATCACTTATAATTGATTATCAAACTATATACTTGCAAAAATCAAAGTTACACGCTTTCAAAAAACAGGTGAGTACACGTCCGATGCACGCGGCTGACGCTCGCGTATTGAGGGGGGGGGGGGGGTTCCAACCTTTGAATA